ATCAAGATGTATCATTAGGATATATAGCTATACAGTCCTCAAAAAAAGGCAGGCAGCAGTATGTCTTGACCTCATTCTATCTACAAACTGGGGAGGTGGTTTTGTTTTGATTTTCCTATTGATGATATGTTTCAACCGGTTGACCGGAGTTGACACAAAATTAGGCAAGGAGGCACCCGCAAGGGAGTTTGCCAAGACTACCATCCCTTTCCCCTTGCAACCACTGTAGTTACCCCGGATTCATCCGGATTCCCGTACATGAAGGCCAATCTGGATATATACCCATCAGGGAGGAGGACTCAACTTTCTAGTTGTTGATTATTTACTTGCAAACTAACAGTCCCTAAAGTCCTTGACCAGTCAATTAATTGCGCTCCTACTTCGGAGCAGCGATTTGTACATAGGTCCCTTGGCCGGAACCTCAGTGGTTTAGACTCGACGGGCGTCGTGGGGAGACTTTGCGAAAATTGTTTGTTAGATCCCACAGGGCAGGGTGTTGCCAAACCCGTAAACATTAGAAACGATACCCCCGAAGGATACCTAAGGGTCAAACCTTCCATAATAAGACGCGAAGCAGTTTTTTTCCTGGTATATGCAGAAAGTTCGATCGAATCTTTGTGCCTTGAAAATAGATTAGAGCTTTCGAGTGTCAAAGTGTCAAAAGCTTGAAGCTGACTGAACCCTCTAGGGTCCACTGTCAATGTGTAGTCTAGTCTGTCAAAAGCCTGCAAGAGCACATGTCTGACAGAAAGCCTTGAGGGTAATAGTGTAGTTTCCGCTTTGCAGCTAACACTTCCACGCCTTTTGCGAATCCTAAGCCTTAGCCTTTCTGTGGCACGATGTGCAATTTGAGTCAAAAGATGCCTGTTTCTTACAACCCTAAGAAGCCATCCCGCCTGGATTTGCTGTTGGAGGTTGAGTAATGAACATTAAGAACCAGCTTTTCACCGGAGCTCACTTGCTTGGAAAGATGTGCCAGTGACACCAGGTGTGGAAATGTTGGGCTGTCTTTTAGGAGAAAGAGTTTGGTGTTTGTTTCCAGCACCCAATAAAACAAAGAATAGAAGAAGGCTGAGGAAGTGGTCATGGTGAACCGGGCTGACCCTGGTAAGCTCATTCAGCAAAATGGCGAGATTGCCTCTTCCAACTGGCTTGTCCTTATTGTTCAAGTGCAAACAAGAGGTGAATATCGGTTCTTTGGCAAGATGTGGTTGGGATCTGAATTGCACTTCGGGGGCTTTTACCAAGACACCGGCACTGTTGAATATTAATCCCTGACGCGCATGGAGGCAAACAGCAGGGTTCTGCAACGACAACAATTTTTGCAATTCGAGCGTTGATGCTCCGTGGATAGGAATCCCAGGACCCGGACCTCCTTCTTTTGTACACAGGTAGACCTTCTAATTATAAGTCTGGTTATCTCTTGGTTTATAGCCCAGAGTCAACTTTGGTATAAGGGGCTCCTTCAATGTCAACGCTTCGCAAAGCACTCAATGCCTAGGTCGGGCGGTTGCGCGAGGGCGCGATGTCTATGGCGGGGCAACAGATCCAAAAGGTGCCGAGACTCAGAGACTCCGCCGGTGGGAAGCGATCGGAGATGGAACAGTCTGACATAGACCATGGTGCTTGGTCCTGCCCTGGGATTCGAAGTGTAACGGTTTATTTATAGTAATTATAGCAATATTATTATTAAATAATTGAACCACTATGATGTTGGTTCTTCGATTGGAAATTCCACAAAACCAGGTTAGCCATTCTTCTAAGGGCCTTGGCACAATACAAATTACTGCATCACAAACAAAAAGGATGCTTTCACATTCCACTTCGCCACATGACAAACCAAGTGCCATTCTGGGTCAAAAGGCGGACAAGCTGCCTTGTCTGCTGCCATTGTTTGTGTATGTTTGTGTCGACGGGCGATCCTTGCAACGTTGTCCGTTTTTTTGCTAACCGCCGCTTTTGCTACTTCCACTTCAAGCTCCATTACCCAGAAATCCCGGTCGCAAATCCGGGTGGGGACGTCATCCTGATCTTTAAGCTTTTCAGAGTTCCCTGGCGCGAGGTTGGGTCAGCTCCGCATCCATACAAACAAAACCAATCCTAAGACCGCCGGCGTACTCTTGCTCATTCGTAAGAAATTAGCCACTGCACACGCTGGTTGACTCGTGCATGTACGCATACGTCTTGACCTTAGGCCCACTGACGTTGTCTTGATGTGTCAGTGTGCTGACATTCAAACCCTTGCTGGCCTTGAACTTCGAGAAACACTTTAATCACTACGGCTTGCCCTTGATAGACTTTTGAATGACTTTTGAGCACACTTCCCAACCGGAATTCTTTCTTTGCTTGGGCTTCAACTCTGTCCAGGTCCCCTTCCCAGACTTTTTCCGTGCACAACACAGTCGAAGAGCCAGCACTACACTCCAATACGTTCCTTGAACATTGTCAAATCCCAAAAGATTGGCACTGCCTTGCGTCGCACTTTTGTGAATGACCGCTGGGAATCCCGCATACTTCGCCTTTTGCAGGCTCATCTCCACAGATCAGGCAGCCAAACAAGTGCTTTACTTGCATCACTGCCCATTTCTGTCAGACCTTAAAAAATACCATGTCCCATGATGGGCCCGTTGCCCTTGACATGGTTTCGTGAGTTGAATACTCCGGTCTCCACCGCCATCTCCTTTGCACAGAGGGAGCCATGTCGTATGGCCTTTCGCCAAAACCGCTCTTCTTGGGAGGCGGGAGTCCTGCGTGAACCACAGTGCCCAAATCTGGGATCTTGCAAGGGTGGAAACAGATGTGATCTGTTGCATATCCATCACGTGCTGCAACAACATGTTCATTATTGCTTCCCTCCGAGATACACCGGCTCCTGAACTAGCCCACTACGAATGAGCCTTGCGGCGTCAGATTCGATGCGCAAGGGATACCACGATTGCTTCACTGCGGAAACAGATTGCGCCTTTTCGATCTTTTTCATGCCGTTGCAAAGCAGCGCAAGACGCATTCCCATCTACAGCGTAAGGTCGTAAGGTTGAAGCTCTGATGCATGATGCCGCCCAAGTGGCCCAGCAACACGACAACTTCGTGTCTTCAACATCGACCGTCTAGCTCCCAACAACACAAAACGCAAGATCAATTAGAGGGGGTTCATTTGCTTGGTCGTGTTGAGGCCCATGCTGCCTTTGAGGGACTTAATGTCGCGGCTCATGGCACAACCGAGCCTATTTTGCTACCTTCGACCATTGCTGGCCAGGCACCGTTTTGCTTTCATGAGCTTGTTAGTGCAAGGTCCATGATGGGCCCCCTGTCACGCAAATCGCTGGAAAGTTTTGGCCTGTTCTGGAGGACTGGTGGCGCTAATCTCCACCATTCCAGAGACCTGGAAGGCAGCATCGGAAGGCTCAGCTTCTCTTGCTCCTTCTGAGGGACCTGACCGCCCTCGCTTTGTGCTACGAAGGTCAGCTCCAGATGCTGTCAAAACAAGACAGCTTCATCGGTTTTTTCAGCCCAGGAGAAACCATTCTGCTCAACATGCTGAGTGACCAGCCCGAGGCCGCCAGATTAGATGACCTGCGATTGAAGTTCCAGCCTCGCAAACCACAGGCTCTGAAGCTCCAAGTGAGTCTCAGAGACGAGGAGAACTTGGCCAAGCTGGCATCCAATTCCATTTGAAAGCTGCTGACTGCGCCGCTCAGCTCGCGCGGCCACTCTGCAGACACAAGCTTTTGGAAAGGACAGTTCCAAGGGAGGCAAGGGCCGACCTGTGACTGCTACTCAATCATCGGGAAATACGCAAATCTTTTACAAGAGCTCTTTGCGAGGGCCCTTGCTGGATCTATGAACTTGGGCCTTTGCAATCACTCTTGGAGCGCTCGGGCGCCTCAAGAAAGCAACAGCGTGCCTCTGAGTTTCTCTTCTTTGTGTTGGATTGGCTCAACCTGCCTGGCGTTGACAATAGCTGTGCACGACGATTCACAAAGTAGAAGGCATACATGTCTCAGACCATGGTGGGGCGCATGCTTTAGTCTTTGACTGGGTTGCGGAGCTAGACCAAAAGGAGGTTCCTTTGAAGCTGTCGATAGCTGGGCCTTTGCCTTAACCATGCACAGTGCTTTGACGGGTGCTCCCAACATTGGGCAATTGCGCTGGACTGGATAGGGCTAGACTGCTCAGGTGTATCAGCTCGCTCCTGAGGCAAATGAGCTTTGCCCGCCAGATTTCGAATTGTCAGCATCATTGTGCATGTGGGTGCCAAGAGGGCAGGACACTTCAACAGCTCACAGCCAGCCTTATGCCCAATTGCCTCCGACCATCTTTCAGGACGCTTTCATTTTGATGCCATGTCGTGCACCTGACATGTCACAAACGAAGGCTGAAGAGCTCTCTGACGGGGCCTTCGGGAGGCTGTTGAATCTCATGATGGGTTGATGAGCCCTTGCGAGCATGGTGGGGCAGCGCTGTAGATGAGTCAATGCACATCACCACACACCATTTCACCATACTGCACTTCACCCCACACTCAGCTTCACATTGCGATGTAGCAAATCAATACTTTAGTTTCTTCGGCCTCGCCAGGAATTGCCCGTTAAGGAGCCATCATCAATTTACCAACACAGCCCGCGTGACGGCGGGTCCACCATGAGGTGGGATGAGTTGCTGATGGGATTACAGGGATCATTTTGACCAAACCCTTTGATTCTCGACGCTATTTGCAAAAACTAAACACCCATTGCCACGAACCATCGATCTTAGTACTCATTTCGGTTGCATGTCTTCCTCAATAGGTATTGTCAACGGTTCTTTTCCGGGCGTCACATCAGCTTTCGACATTTATCAAAGCTCAACAAGATGTTCTCATGATTATTGTGATAATTTATGGGATGTCACCAAGTCACCAAGGTCATTTAGTTGCCGATATCCGTTGTTTTTGTTCCTTCCAATCAAACCTCAGCGCATGCAAAACAAACATAAGCAAACAAAATGCTCACTGCCGTGCCATGTCCTCTTCTGTGCCCTCTATGACGCATGAGGTCTATAGCGAGTGGTGCGTCAAGGCTGCCGAGATCATCCTGGCCGCACGGGTGGACAGTCCGAGTCGAAAGCTGAGCTGTCGAATAGATGACAGATCTCACGGGGTGTACGCGGTTGAGTCATTTTGTTTGATCCCCCAAACAGAGCGCTCGGAGGACCGCTGGATGGGTGCCAGCGTTTATGGGTTTGCGATGACAAGCGGTGACATCTATTTTTTGCTTTCAGTGTCCTTTGGTTTTCAGTTTCTGCCTCAGCGTGGCTTTGCCCCAGTGCCAGATTGGTTGCTGCAGCACATGAGTACGCGTTGGCACTCGCACTTGAGCTTCACAGAATGCAACTGCCATGAGATTTGTAACCAAACAGAGTGGGACCTGAGAAGAGATTTGGTACTAGCTTCGCTGCGGGTTCCTGGCTAGCGGCATAGAGTAGGTTGCAGTACTCGTTCTTTGTCAAGGATGCAAGACGACATTTGGAAACGGAATGACTGCACTTGTTTCCCGCTCGGCTTTTTGGTTTTTAGCATAAGCTGGCACCCACACTTCGTTTTGAAACACCTGCAGCACCCGCAGCAGTTCCCCTGGACAACACGTCATGCACTCACATTTTCTTGAGGCATTTGCAGATTGTGGTGACAACATGCAGTGATACGGATCGTGAAATGTGAGTTTGCACGAGACAAGGTTTTATGGACTTAAAAAACCAGGTCTGAGTCCAGATGCGGCGCGCAAGGATCATCCCAGAGCGACCAAACCAGGAACACGAATCCAGGACTTGTTGCAATTTGTCACATTCCAGATTCTCGATGCTAGGGTGGGGTTAGTGTAAAGCATAAGGTCAATAGCTTAATATAAAACATTGTACAAAACACATACATACATACATACATGGCTCAAGCCGTGAGTGGATCAAGGGGTGCCCGCAAACATCCCCTAGCGCGGTACTCCCCACTCACCACGCGTGCACAGAGATCCTCCCTCAGTGCTTCCTTTGAGAGCACTGGTCTTTGCCCGCTATAGAGGAGGACCCAGTAAGGTGCAGGTAAGATCTGACAAAGGGTGAGGATCAGGACACCGGGCTCGAACTGGCCTCAGTGACGGTGTGGGATCTCACTCTAGGAGTCTCCTCACCCAGGACAATGACCAGGAAGAGTTATCAGGAAGCTCTACTGGACCATCCACAGTTGCCGCCCTTGAAGCGTTCCAAGCTCTATCAAGAGACCTCAGATCTCCTGACCTCCATTTGGACGATGATTCCACCAGAAGTACAAGGCAAGTCTGGGATGCGGACCCAGTAAACCCGAAGAGCCGGAACTCACCAACTTGCTCAAGTCTCACATAGATGCCCTGCCACCACAAGTACAAGAGCTCGTCAACAGGCTAACCGCAGGGGCTCCAGAGCAAGATCAATGATGGACAGCAGGCACTCAAATTAATCTTGAATGACTACGTGAAAGCAGTCAATCAAAGCCCACCTCCAGCCGATCTCCATGCAGGCCAGGCTATGGAGATAGATCAAGTCGAATCTTTTGTCTCAAGCCTAGGACCTAGGGCAGACAGACACAGAGACAGACAGACACAGAGACAGACGGACACAGAGACAGAC